TCTTTTTGTTATCCCCCTGGTCTTACATATACTGTACTTTGAAGAGCCAAATGTAGATTTGCATGCTCTAAGGAATGAAGCGTACACAAATATAAAGAGACTTCAATATATGCATTGAGCCACCGTAGCTTCCCTGTTATTTCGCAAATTATATATTTTATATTCGGGGGATAACTGAGAAAACAGTTATTACCTATTTTATTATCTTCCCTCAGTACATTAACATGGGTTTGTTCCTAGTAGACATACCCCTGCCCACCATACCTTACTTAACCTAAATGTAAACACTAACTGAATGATTGATATATTAGCATTACTGTACTACGCAGGGAAAAAAACACGCAGTAACACAACACAATCAGGTTTACTGCAGTGCTGTTCCGCAATACATGTAAGGGGACTGCTTTTTGATTTATTAAATGGCAGACATGTGGTTGAGATGAGAACTGGAACATACTAAATAAGGGTGGAGCTATCTACACAGGGGAAAACCTGAACAATGGGTAGTGGTAGAGACAAGACCAGAGATAGATAAAGGCATATCACAATGCACGTGTAACATGCCAGGTCTAGTGTCAGTTCATATTTGCTGGAATTTGGTCTGAGTAAGTCAGTTGCTGCTTTTAGTTGTATGTTTCACTCTTGTTTTGTGTTTATGTGGGAGAAGGAAAGTGTCTCCTTATTTAACGTTCTGAACTGGGAAAAATACTATTTTACATTTCCTGCAGTTGTACTAGTCATATATATTCATTCTGCTCCAGTGCTTTTTTTTACTTTACTCAATAAATATGCCTATTAATCATTGCACTGCATTTCCTTATTGATTTCCAAAAGACAAACATGTTTAGAGGGTTGACAATTCTCTGCATCCAAACTTTCCTTTACTTCTTTTCCATCTATAACAGTCCATAGAGAAGGTAAACATATTGCAAATTATTTTTCTAGCTTTATAAACTATACATATTTATAGACATGTAAGCCAGGCCAGAGAGAAGAATGAAATGGCGTTCCCTTCAAATTCCACAGTTTTACAAGTAGAAAATAGGAGGATACCTCTAATACTCAAACAGTATAGAGGGGATAATACTCAATATATATAAAACGTCAATATCTAAAACACTGACAATTTCTAGTGAGAATACTGTAAGCATTCCACAAAGTGAGACCTTCCAAGAAATCGGAGAAAAATCATAGAGCCAGATACCTGGTTGCAGGGAGTACTATAGAAGCTGCACAATGAACCTTACACATTTACTGTATATAGAAAGAAAAGAAGTCCAAAAGACTTCAACAAAGTAAGAAAAAAACAATAACCCCCTAGTAAAAGTGGAGGCATACCTTAAACCAAAGGTTTATGGCCGTGTGAACTACATTTTGCATGGGAGACAGACTTAGATCTCTTGTGAAAAATGACAGCAGCGCTAGCTGAAGAATAACATTTTTCTACTTCAACAAGAGATCTACAGAATGCACCTTGAATGAAAATCAGGAGATTTGGGCATACTTGTGTTAATTCCATGACCAAAGAGAAGCATGAAACATTGAAGTAATCATCGTTCCAACTGCCCGTGTTCTACGCATATGGACAGACATTATTGTCGTGTGAGCCACCAATTTAGATGCCTGTAAAAGACCATAAGGTTAGGAGTTTGAAATCACTGAGGATCCTGCTCAGTCAGAGGAATCCCTTTCAAAATATATAATCCATTGAGACATGGAATTGCAAAGTAGAGTTGCCACCAGAATAGGCCAAAGAATAGTTCTAGAGTTAATTCAAACTGGAAGTCCAAATGTTTATCAGTGAAGTCCCTAAAAGTAAAGGCCTTCATCAACTATAGTGATGCGATACCCTTTAGGTTCCGTTCACACATGAGCGCTTTTCCGCTCTGAAACGCGCTAAACATAAAAAAACAATGAAGTCCAATGTGCATAGTTCCCATTAGGGCGGCGTCTGGGCACTACTAAAACACTCGTCCCGCAAAAAAGTCGGAGCACGATTTCTTGAAGGGAATCTGTGCGTATGTTAAATTTAGTGTGTTTTCATTCTGCGCTGTTTTCCACGCGTAAACCGCAAATGCCAAATATGAAAGGACCTTTAAGGTGAAAAGCCATCCACAGATGGTAGGGACCATCTGTCAGATAAATTCCTTATCAAAAGGTAAATGCCTCATTAAAGTAATCTTAAAAAGGATAATGCATATGATTGTTCTTAGTCCTCAAAGGTCTTTACGATAGCAAAAGCTAAAAAAAAATGACCTGATGCAACAGGTCGATCTTCTAGATGCATAGCATAGTGTACTGCATCATGTAAATTGGAAACATCCACAAAGTACCCAGAATGTTGATAGAATAGAAAAAACAGCAAAACTATAGATAGGGCTTTTCCTCAACAGAGCTTTTTCTTCAACAGAGCAGAGAAAAAAGTATCCAACCTCTTAGGACACTAGCAAAAAAACAAAAAATTGGTTGGAGGCAGGGTTATATGGGGGTTGGCTTAACATTTCTTTTGTTTGCCAAACCTCCTAAAGGCAGCAGTATAACCCTAATGTATCAGAATAACTACTGCTCCTGTGAATGATAGACAAAGCATTTCACTTCTGTATGTGTTGCTGTTGAAGAAACCTCCCCTCACTTGCTGGGGACAACCATCTTTATAAAAAAAAAAAGTGAAGGAATCTCTCCATTGGAGCCTATGACTGCAGTTACATGTGACAGGACACATATTAAAATGATGGCTGAGCCACACATATTAGGTATCGCCACACATGCTGGAGTGAAAGCAATAATTCAAGGGGCCATTATTTACTGTTAAAGTGGTTCTAAATCCTCTGTTTTTTTGCCTATATCTACTGCTAAAGTTTAAAAAAAAAAAAAAACCCCCGTAACAGCACTTTACACTTACCTTGCTTTGGCTGCGCGCTCCCGTGTGAGAAAACGAAACTGTTCCGGCGGCCGCAAAGCATCTTGGGGCGGGCGCATGCGCAGTTCGGATTCTAGGCCGGGAGACGAGCAGAGACGCAAGGTAAGTCTATAGGCGCGTGCACCCGCATGCAGACCCCGCTGGATAAGAAGTGCCTGCAAGCAGAGAGGAGTCAGCGCTGGATCGGAGAGCCGCCGCACCGCTGGAGGGACAGATGAAAACATAGGGAAAGAAGATCGGATTAAGAGACATCATTTAAGGTAAGTGCTGACATTAACATGGGGGGGAGGGAAAAAAAATGATCCTTTAATGTCACTTTAACTTTAAAAGGCTTGTATGTGGTCCCTTCTAGACAATTTTGGGCACTATCGTTTTTTGCCATTAAAAAGGCATGCACATTTTTGAGGCCTGACATATTTGATATCTATTTACTCCAACTCATCTTTTTCATTTTACAAAGAACTGGGTATCATATTAAGAAATAAAAAATGTAAACTTTTTTTATTCTACAGGGTTACTGCTTTCAGAAAATATATATTGTTTTGGGGGTTTTAGGTAAACTTTGGGCCCATATATGCATTTGAAGATTTGTGTAAAAAAAAAAACTCTAGCTGCAAAAGGGTTTAATGACATTTTGTGTCTGTTAGGGCTCATTCACACAGGTCTGCATACAAAATGAGCCAGCACAGCATGTTCACAAGTTTGGAATTTGCTGCAACAATATAAAATAGGTGGTTGAAATGAGGCTGGATTCACACCTGGGCGTTTTTCAGCGCTGATCGAAGCGCTGAAAAACGCTCAAGCAGTGAAATCCCATAATTTCCTATGGGCATGGTTCCCACCTGGGCATATTTCAGCGCGTTTTGACGCGCTGAAAACGCCCAAACTAGTACAGGAGCTTCTTTTGGGGCGTATTTTCGCGCGTATGCATTGGTATTCCCAAGTGTGGCTCGGGGTTAACAAAGCGGTAACCCCGAGCCACCCTCGAGAATACAGCGTAGGTCTCACCTTGTCCGCGATCTCCGCTGTGTCCTCCGGCCCCTGCCGTCTTCCGGGCTCTGTCCCTTGCGAGCGTCCGCGTCGCAGGAGGGCGGAACCGGCGGGAAGTTTGAAAGTTAAAACTTTCAAACAAAAAAACTTGCTAAAAACAAGCTGAAAACGTGCCTATAGTAACGCCCAGGTGTTATATCAGCCTAAGAGCTGCAACAACTAATTAAATCAATTAAAATCGATGAGAATAGTTGGCAACTATTCCCATCATCTATTAGTTGATTTTCGATTAGTTGCTGGCAGCAGAGGTACGAGGGGGGAGCAGCGGTGGATTTCAGAGTCACCGGCCGCAGTCTAAAAGACCCCTAATGTCACCTTAAAGAGAACTTGCCACCTCCAATGTGCCATCACATAGAGGGCTTGTGAGACCCCCCATGTGATAGCAATGAGGTTAAAAAAAATGTAAAAAAAATACAATTAAAAATCCCCCCTCAAAAAAAGTGAAAGTCCCCCAACCCTGCAAACGCGCGTAAATGAACAGATACACAACGATGATTGCGCTACACATGTCAGGTATCGCCGCATATTTTATTTTAAATAATTTTTTCTAAATCCGATTAATCGAAGTTAATAATCGGCTAACTAATCGATTATGAAAATAATCGTTAGCTGCAGCCCTAGTTGAAATTCCTGTCTACCCTGTCCAGGAAACATGTGCCCATGCAGCACGAGACTAATCCAATAAATGAAATGGGATCTCCACACATAAACCAATACACACGACTCAGAAATATATGAAGGGCCTGAAAAAATGTGCCTGCAAAACATGGAACAGTTTTCACTGGCAATCTCAGAACAATATAAAGTATTGCGCTCATACCTGATTTCTGCGCAGTGCTCAGCTAGTCCCATTCAGGACAGGATAAGCAAAAATATTGATGTTCTTTAGCAAACCTACACAATTGCTTTTATTAAAAGATTAAAACATTTCTTTAGGAAAAAATAAAGTTCTGTGATAATAATGTAACATTTCATATAAGCAACACAATGAAAACACGCATTTTAAAGTAATAAACTGCTTTTTTTTCAGATCACCCCAGGAAGTAAATCTTCCGTTGCTAATTTATGTCCTGGAGATGTAATACTAGCAATTGATGGACATAGTACGGAGGCCATGACACATGCAGAGGCACAGGACAGGATTAAAGCTGCAACAGACCAACTCTGCCTGAAGATTGACAGGTATTTATTCTCCATTACTGCTATACATTTTGACAGGACAGCTAGTGTTGCCACCACTCATCGCAAGGTAATGTATACTTTAGAGGAGATCTTTAGTTTCCAAAGATCAGAAATGATTTAGGGATCAAGGAGCAATGTCAGATATACAATCCATCCACTGCTCATCTTTCTCATTTTAGAAATGTAACCTGTTACCTAAATTGTCATCTATATACTACACGCCATACAGATTTGTGAACGGGCTACTAAAAAAACTATTTATAATATTTATACTATAAACTATTTATAATATAAGGGTTTTATTTCAGTTTATATTGTTATATCTTATATCTAATAAATTCCTCCGTTACCAATTGACATAACATTACTTAACAAAAATAAAAACATTTATTGGTTGCTTTTTCCCCTCCAAAATACTGAAAAATAAACCTATATTGCTTGTTTTTTTCCTAGAGTGGAGACCAGGATGTGGTCTCCACAAATTTGTGAAGATCCTTATCAAATTAACCTTGAAGCTGAACCACAGGTAAAAATATCAATTTGATTTTCAGTTTTGTAATCCATTTTTGGTTGTGCAAATCTCTACCTAGAGTATCTTAAAAAGCCCACTGTTTCCACTGAAAATGTCCAATAGTTTTAATGGATAGACTAGAAATATGTTTGCATGATTGCATGATTCAAATTCAACTTATGGAACCTTTTTTTGGTTGTAAAACTTTCATCAAGGAGCTGGTTTGCTAAAAGAGAAAATATTAACCCCTTCGTGACTGACGACGTACAGTGTACGTCGCCAGCATCGGGGCTGTTTAAACAGACTCCCGGCGACTTTTGCCGCCGGGACTCTGTTTAAACTTGTAGAGCCGACTGTCGGCTTTACAACAGAAGCGATCCTGGCGACTTACCTGTCGCCAGATCGCTTCTGCGTCACTCAGGAATTAATTCATAAAAATACATTCATGTACCTTAACTATTAACAAAAATGTATCTTAGTTGCATAGATCCTCAAATCCTGAGTTTAGTGTCACTTTTAACTTAGCATTTGTCCCTTTATATACCCAGTCAGACTCAGAAAAAATATCTTTTTTAAAGCCTCCTAAGCTTGATTGTATGATTGAAATAGACAACGTCTAGATGAAAATATTAGTAAATCAAACCCAAAGTGCTTGATGTCCATTCTTGTATGTTGCCTAAAACGGTTAGCTGTTAGCATGCAATGTAGTAATAATGGCTTCCCCCTTCCTACAGCAGTCTGTAGTTGTGACCTTCTGCTTCCACCTCCAGTCTAAATTTGCATGTTTGTTAGCCAAATGTTAGATGTGAAATTATATTGAGTATCACCTCATACTCAAACACCATTTTTGAGCTTGCTCATTCTAACCAGCGTATCGCTACTACACGCTGTGTTTATTCAAAACAGCACTGCTTCTAATGGTGGTAATGGCCATTAAATAGTAGCAATCCAGCCACTGAAAAATCTTTTTTTTTAAGCATGGCAATGTAAACATGCATGCGTGTATCCTATAAGCATAACATAGGATAAGGGAAAGAGTGCAATATATTTTATAAACTTCCTAAAGTGTATCTAAGCTCAAAAAACAAAAAAACACTTTATATATTGCAGCTTATCAGTCCTTAAATGTGGCGGCCGTATTCTTTTTCTTTTATCAGGCTTTGTTCTCCTGTTTATTTTCACCAGGTGTTTATGTCTGAAACACACTTTCTGTCCTGGGGTGACAGTAAACATTCACTGCATGGTTATCCATGATGTTACCCTTGGCTGCTTTCAGGATTTGGACTACAAAACACAGACTCCTCTCCTCATCCATATTACCTAGAGACAAGGGGTTCTGCAGTTTAACAAGATAAAGCACATTAGACTAGAAATACAATTTCAGTACACAAAACGTTACAAGGACATTGGATTTCTGGGAAGATCACATGGAAATTTTGGGTACTTGCAGAAAATGTACTTAGAAAACTAATGCAGCCACCACATCCAATGACTTAATAAGCTGCAATATATTAGATTATGGTTTTGGGGTTTAGATATCCTTTAAAATCATTAGGTTACATTTGCCATTGTACAGTGTGAACAATATGTGTGGCTAGCTTGTGTGTTTAATCTGCATGAACTGCAGTGTGGTGTGTTTTATCCAAACGTATACAGGAGTTCAAACCTATTGGCACAGCTCATAACCGAAGAGCACAACCATTTGTAGCAGGAGCAAACATTGGTGACAAAAAACAGGTAGTGAGTTCCTCCTATAATACCCCAATTGGACTATATTCATCTGGCAACATCAAAGATGCATTCCATGGACAGATGAGGGGTCTTGTCCCTAATGCAGATCAAATGTAAGTATTTAACATGCATGTCAGTGAAAACTTTTTCTGCATGGAAATGTGACATTATAATGTTAAAAACAACTTGTATAACCAAGAAGTATGCACTGTCATTTCAAACAAATGCTGTTATTGTCCAGTTAACAAAACAGCTAGAATTTAATAGTGATACTGAAACAAGTGACATTATAAAAACTGCATCGCACAAAGTTGTAGCAGGGGTAGGAAACCTTAGCAATCCAACTGTTGTGAAACTACAAGTCCTATGAGGCAAGGATTCCTTGAGGCATGATGGGATTTTACCACAGCTGGAGTGCCTACCCCTACTGTAGAGGGATGAAATAATAGGGGACATAGGCACTGGCCACATCATCTCCTATAAATTCATATCAAACATTTTTTTGGGTCAAAATATTTAAATTGCATAAAGCACATGGTAGGGGAGCATAGCTAAGCTTTTCTTACATTTGGCACAAGAAATGATGACTTCCCAAACAGCTGTTGCAGCTTCTGCCGTATATCTGCTTCTGCTGTTGCCTTAGTTCAGGGGTGGACATATTAATTTGGAAGTCAGGAGCCAGTCTGTCCAATCCAGGGACCAGTAGATTTTTTTCTTAGGAGCCAGCTCCACCGACACTAACTAGAGAAAACATCAAACGTTAGGTGCCAGTTGTAATTTTTTAAGGAACATTGGCTACCTGGCTCCTAGGATTTATCCAGTGCGGCCTTAGTTTGACTGCCAGCTTTTTTTTTTATTTCCCCATATTCTCCTAATTTTTAAATTTTTTTGGCCCATTCATCCCCTCACACAGGGCTGTCAGGAGCCTCATAAAGAATTCCGCACAATTTTCCATCATTTGCTGCTCTGTAATAAAACAATTTTTGACATCAGTTTGGCTAGATCACAACTGATCATCCATTGCAGAAGTTTGCTCATCTCTAACTACAATAAGTATCCCTTTCCCATTCTTTCCCTGCTCCCCCAACACAAATTGATTTGAAAAGTCATTGTAAACAGATTGCCCAAGAACAAAAAAATTACCGTACTTACCTCGGCCTGCAATGCTTTCAAAGGCATGGGTGACATCACCGTGTCTCACTGATGGCTCCAGGGATAGTTAGACACTTGAAATCCCCCAAGAATGCGCTCTTGTAACATGCTGCAGTACGTACTTGCAAGATTTCAAACTCCGAACTCTGCAGGAAGGCACGCAGACGTCACCCTTGCCTAGCATGTCACAGGCCGGGACAAGCTTCTTTTTTTTTCCGCGACAATCTGTTTGTTTACAGCATGGGGCTTGCAGAAAAAGCAAACCTCCCATTCAGCATTCCCATTTTTAAGAGGAAGCAAAAACATATGCATACACACAAACACAAACCCACAACACTGACAATTTTTGTTACAAATTGTTCTTATTCATGTTACTGTTTTTGGTGTAGCATTCAACTGGTTGATATTAACAAATAGTTTTTGTTCCTCATTAGTGAAATAAATAACAGCTGCATTATAACAAACATTTTTTGTCCTACAGGATTTGGCCTACTTTGAACACAAGCATAATATCAGACCTAAGCCTTTTATACTCCCAGGCAGAAGCAGGTTAAAATGATTGTAGTTATGTGTGTTGTGTGCATGGTAACAGCAATCAGCATAATATGTAGAAAAGCTGTCAACCTCAAAAAGTTACAAACATAAACCTTGTGATGAATAGTTAGAGGAGGCGTATTTGTTCAGTTTTGTAAATTACATTTTCCGAGTAATCAAAGTCATAGGGGCAGTATTGTTTGAGGACTACGGTGCTGAAATAACATGTGTAATTCAGTGATTCTGATAAAAGTCTTATTTTCTGGAAGCTGACATCATATTTGCTTATCCAAAGTGAATGAACTACCTTCTCTAGCCTCTAATGACGCAGTGATTCCCCCGTGGCCACATTCATTTTTCACAATACCTGACCACCTAAAGAAATCAAGTAGTAATGCATCTGAGCCGCCTTTATTTTACACGTTTGCGTGTGTTGAGTTATAAAAATCCTTTAACCACTTGAAGTCCAAGGTGTTTCACCCCCTTCCTGGCCAGGAAATTTTTCAGTATTCAGCGCTGCGGTACTTTGACTGACATTTATTCCGTCATGCAATGCTGTACTGATACGAATTTCATACCATTTTTTGAGGACAGATAGAGCTTTCTTTTGGTGGTATTTAATCACCACTACGGGTTTTATTTTTTACTATATAACAAAAAAAGTACCCTAAATTTTGAAAAAAAACATGTTTCCCTATAAAATGTTATGAAACATTTATTTTTACCCCAATTTTTTGGTAAAATATGACGGGGTCACGTCGGGTAAATAGACACTAAACATGTCAACCTTTAAAATTGCGCGCGCCACCGAAATCGCAGAAAACGACCGCAAGCAAAATTGGCCATAGGCGACACTTTAAACGTTTTTACCGCTCATCAGTTTAGTGTTATCAGTGATTGATGGCCCTAGAATTATTGCTCTCACTCCGACGTTCGCGTTCGAGATATGTAAAGTGCTGCATAATGAGCGCAATCGTCGTTTTCGTACATAGGCGCACCCAACGCATGTGTATGTGGACATTGTTCTTAGAAAGTGCTGACCTATAGACTTTTTTTAAGTAATGGAAAATGGAAATAAAAGCAACACACGTACTTATAAATTGCATTTATAGGATTGTGTTGATTAATATATAAATACTGCCACCAACCTAGACACTGCTTGCATGGCATTTCATCTCTTCATCTAATCTGTGCATGATCTAATGAGCATATAACTCTCTATTACTTTTCCTTTAACTGCATGTGTTCACTCTGAGCATTTTCTAGACACATCCTCTGATACTCTTGTGTCTCTTTTCTATTTCACTATTACCACCCTTCTCTTTCAATGGCGTTGTGTCACAGTGGAAGCAGCACCCCTTCAGGCTTTGACCCTGGCAGTGGACGTAGCACTCCTTCCACAGCAAGCACTGTTGGAACTATAGATCCTGGAGAGCTCAAAGCTGCCTCTAGATGTGCACCTAACATTCCCTTGGAAATGGAGCTCCCTGGTGTCAAGATTGTTCATGCCCAGTTTAATACACCAATGCAACTCTATTCTGATGACAATATTATCGAAAGCCTTCAAGGGCAGGTGTCCTCCATCCTAGGGGAGAAACCAATAGCAAGGTACATAATATGTGTAGCTTTAAGTGTATGAATTAATGTTTGCCTTGACTTTAAAAACAACACAACTAACTGCAATCTACAAAATTAAGAATCCTTCCACTAATATAAACAGGAGGTGAAGCGAAGTATCCTGACATAAAAATGCATTACTACACATGTGAATAAAAACAAAACAATCATTCCAAGAGCTATTTTCAGATTGAATGGAGAATGTGACAGCAACTAGACGTTTGTTTCTACTTAAATGATTAGTATACTTTAAAACAGTGGTTCTCAACCTGTGTAACCTCAGGACCCACATTTGTCCTTGGTCATTGAGTCGTGACCCAAGTCATAAAGCACTGGAATGCATAACACTGCGGTACCGTGCATTCCAATGTGGGCGATCGAACTGTGGGCAGGAGGTGCGTTTGTGGTGCCATTCAAATCAATGGCAAAGCAATGCACCTCCCACACCAGAACGTGAGGTAGGTGCAATTGCATGGTACAGTGCATTAATCACAAGGAACTGTGTAATAACGCACTGTACTAGTGTGAATGGGCCCTCAAAAACACTGACGGATACACACAACCACAGACATTTTCACACACACACATACTCCAACATTTTTTTATATCTTTTTTTTTTTAAATCCACCCAGTTTCCCTACAGTATGAGAACGGGAGTGGATCCTCAGTCTGCTTGTACAGCTCCCTTGCGCGCACTGTAGAGGTGCTGGGAGCCAGAATGTGACGTCACTCTGGTCCAGGCACCTCTACAGGGCACGCAAGGGAGCTGTAAGCAATGCACGTATGGACTGTAAGGGTTCATTTTTACAGCTGTAAGCAATGCACGTATGGACTGTAAGGGTTCATTTTTACAGCTGTAAGCAATGCACGTATGCACTGTAAGGGTTCATTTTTATATTACCTTCTTTAACCTTCATTTGAACTTATCTTAGTTTTTCTGTAGAAATGCTGACTGCAATTCCTAAATATGAGAAACAAAAGACTAACAAATGAAATATAAAATAGTCAAATACAGCAAGCATGTCAAAAAGGGCCAATTTACACCAATGTGTGGTAACGTGCGCCACACATGTTAATGCACCATGCACATGTCAGTGCATTGTGGTGCCATTAAGTTTCAAGG